ATTTTACACTGTGTAAATATTATACTGTATAAATCAGAGATAAAACCAGATTGTAATATTTAATTTGTTCTAAACTGTAGCATGATTCAGCAGAGTGCTGCTACAAGCTCATATCTGCTAGCCAGTTTAATAATTAACATGATTACATCAGTTTTATAAGCTTAATTTAATTTTAAACTGCTACATTATTAGCTTCATGTCTGGTCAGATCACAACCTTATTCAGGTAAATAAGATCAAATGTGTTTATTTGTGAAATGAGACAATTTCCTGTTTCTCTTCTGTTGGCACGTCCATAACTTTCACAGCTTTCTGACAGGTTTATATATATTAGATAGTTTCTATCCACTCTAAAATAATATTTTTATTAACATTGTTCTTAATAGTTTTTCAGCCCTTATTGTTTGCTGTTTTTCCAACATGTAGAGTAAAGCTAAATCCAGATTTGCTCAGACTACTTACTGCAGGAGGTCACATAGTCAAGTCTCACTCCTGCTGTTCTATAGGCCAATAATTTGCATGTTTATCATTTCAAAAATAAAACTATAATGTGTTCACATCAAACAGAGCTGTTTATTTCAGTGTGATGTCAAAAAACTTAAACTTTTCTCCTCAAGTTAAAGTTTTTATACCAAATTATCGGTCTCATTTTGAAGCATTTTTAAAACCACTAAATTTTCCCACCGTTGTCATTTTTGTGACTTATGGTTCTTCTGTGTTTCTGCAGGCGTGGCTTGGCTGCATGTCTGGGTTTGGGTTTGGGTTTGCTGAGCTTGGTGTCGATCTCGCTGCAGCTCATTCGGACAGAAACCAGAGAAGCTGTCGAGCTGCATGTCAGCCCTGCATATAAACAGGTGAGGACAGTCGACCCACTTGTCATGTTTTCTCCTGGAACTTGTTTGCTGTCTGCACCAGATTCCTCTCAAGTTTTCACTGCAGAGGAAAAAGTCTTTTTGTTTCAGTCAAATTCAACATAACATGAAGCTTTACTCATAAATTAAAGTAGCAGCAGCTGCTGTTGCTGAAAGTGAAATGAAAACAGAGGTTCTGTCACTGACGATCCCCCCACCCCTGGCCAGAGATGTAGAGAAAACTGAAGTGTGAAGTGAAACAAAGTGAAAACTTTCTGTTCTGATGTGTTTTCATCTGAGTGGAGCTGTACTGACACATAAAACCACCTTACAGGTGTGTTCACACCGGCTGGAACAGCAGATTACTAGGGGTGTACGATAACTTATTTTTAAGAACCGATACAGATAACCAATGAATTTCTCTTTCTAATGGCCAATAACTGATAATAACCGATAACCGATAACATGCCAAGAGATAAGACTAGTCCAAAACGGGTTAGATCATAACATAAATAAACAACACCAAAACCAAGTGACACTGTAAATTATACTATTTGAAATAAACTCTTAGCAAACAAACATTTCTTCAAATATATCAAACAAAACAATTTCTCAAATGGCCATTTTTGTAAATAAGGCACATTAATTATAAAAAGACCTTTAACACTGATCTCAGATTTAAACAAAACAGAAAAAGTCATTCCACAAGTTCAAAACTGATAATGCACAAACGTAAGTTAGATTCAAAATACATTGGTTGTTATTTCTATTAATATATGATTTAAAACATTTTTCTACCTGAAACAGTGCTTCTGAGATAATAGTGCAGAAATTATAAACTGTCAATCAAAGTGTGAATACATTCACTATAACTATCGGTCTGATAACTATTGGTCTGATAACTATCGGTCTGATAACTATTGGTCTGATAACTATTGGTCTGATAACTATTGGTCTGATAACTATTGGTCTGATAACTATTGGTCTGATAACTATTGGTCTGATAACTNGGTCTGATAACTATTGGTCTGATAACTATTGGTCTGATAACTTTGGTGCACCCCTACAGATTACCCAGATAACATCACTCCGCCACACACAGGTTGTTGTGTAGGGCTCCTCTTGCTTGCAGTAAATGTTTTGTTGCTACCATGTTGATTGTTGTCACRGTTTCACCCGCAGCTCGTGCATGAATACGTGCGCAGAGTTCTGGAGGGCCCGTGTCGTCCTCGTGGCACAAGACAGAACCTGCTGGCTGAACTCCCGGCCTCCAGCCGAAATATCTGGCCCTTCCTGAGGAGAGACGAGCCCCTGTCTGGAGACCTGTTTGTTTACCCGCCACCGTTTGGCTTCCAAGGACTCAAAGACAAAGTGGAGGACTTGCTGCAGCTGGTGAATGCTACCTCCTCTTTTCTAATCTAGTCTTTGATAATGACARGTTTTAATAAGGTAGCTGTCAGTATCTGCTCTTCTTGGCATTCTCCTCCACTTCCAACCCTCTGCATGTTGTGTTTACAGTTATTAGCTGACTCTAGGTTTAAGATTTCTCTACAAATTTTTAATGTTTGAGTTACGATGTAGTGATTTTAGCTTGTTAAATAATTGACATGAATGAAAAACACCCAAGTGCAATGATTCAAATAAGTCGTAAGAAATATCAGACCTCATGTTTTAATGATGTGAAAGTCATACTGATCAGTCTGTTTAAAGTGTAACTAACCCCCTGTAAAAACATAACCCCTCCCCCAGTGGGCGGTGCCAAGAGGGACTGAGGGGCACCGCCACATATGGAGATGAGAGGAGGTGTGGTCAGGACGTTACGGCTCAAATGATAATAAACTGAACAGAATAGTGAGCGGCACACAGCAGCCACTGTCTTTGTTTGTGGAACACTGGTTTTTATAGGATTTATGGTCCTAGGTGGCCTCTTCAGATTGTTTGTTCCTACAATGAGGCACTGAAAATGTAAAATTCACAACAGGTGTGATTTTTATCTTCCWGCTCAACCCCATTCCTTTTGTGTCAAAAGAAAGCCCTGAAGGCWTTGTTCTGTTTAACTGAACAGTTTTCAACACACAGAGGTTTTAAAGGTAAAACAGTTTTTAGAGTATTCAACACAGCCTGTTTGTCCAGAATTGAAAAGAACACATTTGAAGGTCTTTTCTCTGTTATCTCTCATTACCACAAACCTTGCTCACTTCTAAAGTATTATGTAGGTAGAACATCTCTAATTATTATTATTTATTAATTTTTATTTCGAACAATTAAAAAAAACAATAATAATAAAATAGTAAAATAGAACATATACTGTTTATACATACATGTAACAAATAC